TTTTTGTTGAAGAAAAATATATTCTGTATAGCCATATAAAATAAACATATGGTTTTGATTAGTAAAGGCAAAATAAACATTTATTCCCAGTATCAATGATTAATTTGCTCAACTTGCTGGTTAGTCCTATTCAAGTATCTTCCACTCTAGTAAATAAATAAACATAGATGCAAATAAATAAAATAGATGCAAAAAATTTTTTAATGGACCAATATCTGTAAATTATACCTAATCATAAATTGTAGAGAATACATATGTAAAATTATATGAAATAGAAAAACTGAATGTTCTTAACAATCATCATAATTTATGCTATGATTTAAATAGATATAATCTAAATCAAATCACTCTACTGAGACTATGGCAGCAGTAAAACTGAGAGAGAGCAACAAATTCACTACTTGGATTGACCACTTACTGATAACCAAAAATAGTTTAAATGGTTTACAAGCACCAATCGTACCCTATGATAAACAGCACCACCCAAGAATAAGAATCAGATTTGTTTGCCTCCTCTTCATTTGATAAGTTGTAAGACAGTAAAGACTGTACATGTCTGTGCAAAACCTAGCACACTGTAGGTGTACAGCTCCTAACAGGAATAATCACCACCTTCAATTTCCAGAAAACTGTTGCTAGCTATCAATCTCATTTCCTAGGTGACATGCATAGGATAACAAAATAAAGCAAGGCTTCCTTGCTGGCAGTTCTACCTTGAATCACTTTCAGGATCCTATTTCTTCTAACAGAATTATGTCATCATGGAATTCGATGCAGCATAAATACATATACATAGAGACAAAAGACAGTAAGTGATCCTCTTTTTCTACTACATTGTTAAATTAAAGCACTGTTTAATTCTGAATTGAGGTATTTCACTTTTTGCAGATAAGATCATTTCCTTCAACAAATTTTTGTAGCTTTTTCCCTATTAAAGTAAAAATTGCACACCATAAAATGCACAGATGACAAGTATTCAGCTCAGTAAATTTGAACAAGTGTATACACCAACAACTGGTGAACCTAGACCTTCCTTGAACTAGTCTTCTAAGTTTTATGTAAGTTAAAAATTATGTGAAAATAAAAATTACTTAAAAAGTGTATGCTGGAATTACCATCACTCAAATCAAGCTACAAAATATTTCCATTTCCCTAGAAATTTCCCTTTTGCCCCTTTCCAGTCAACCACAGCCCTTACCCAGAAACCACTGTCCTGATTTCTACCACCATACCTAAGTTTTGCCTGTTCTTGTATTTTTTTATAAATGACATCATGGAGCACTTACTTGTAGCTGGCTTCTCTTAGGCTAAAACGTCTGAGATTAATTATGCTGTTATATGAATCAGTAGTTCATTTCAAACGTGAAAAAAGCTACTTACGAACATTTGTATCAGTCTTTTCTTGGACATGTATATATTTTATTCCTGTTGGTACAGTAAGATTTCATTTAGAAAAAGAATAGGTTCCACACATAAATAAGCCTGGGAGGTAGATGGATTGATTTATATGTGCACATATACATACAGCATATATATATATATGTTATAGTTATATGCTGTATATATATATATATATAGTTATATATAAAATGCAAATATATATATGTGTGTGTGTGTGTGTGTATAAATACATAAGACAGATGAACAGATTCTGAGAAGACCACCTAGGACCAACAAAGATATTTTAAAAGAACTTACAAAGTTCATAGTGAAAATAAATCTAAGATGGGAAAGATGATTATCTCAATTTTTCTTAATAAGTATTATATTATGACCTAAGAATAATTTAAAAGACTAATTTTTCTCTCCATGTAAGTTACCCTGTTCCGCTTCAATGAAATACCTTCTTCTCATAGAAAATCCTCTTTCCAAACTAGAATTTCAAAACATTTAATGTTACCGTCCATCACATCATAATTCTTTATGCTAGGGACAAAACACAAGGTATGTGTTAAGATTACAAGATTTTATTTTATTGTCTCGCTTTAAAAAGAAATTATTTCATTCGTTAATATTTAACATGGGTAAAGACCATTCCATCCTCATTCTGAATATATTCTGAAAAGGACTCCATTGCTCGGATATTTTCTCCATTCAAAAAAGTAATTTACTACAACATTAAGTCTGTGAGAGAGAGACATTTTGACTTTCAAGTTTCATTGTATAATTTCCAACTGACATTAGAGGAGGTTCTTTAATTTCCAGAGATAAGAATATTAAGAAACATAAACACAAATTAAATTTTTGCAGACATCTGTTTGAAAATTCCAACCTGCTTTTAATAATCAGGTGATCATTTTCAGGAGACTAGGAGTGGCTCCTCATTTAACATCATCTTTAAATTGCCAAGATGGAGGCAGAATGCCACTAAGGGTTCTGGAAATTTACCATTGCCTGGTTTAGGAAGGATCTGCAACTACAAAAGGGAGAAACAACCACTTCTAGCCTTTGATCTTTCTACATCTTTTTTTCCTCCTTCCAAAAAGTGAAAAATCTCAAACATACAATAAAAACGTAGTACATCTGAAATCTTAAAAAACATTCTCGGCATTTTTTCCCTAACTTTCACAGATATAAAACTAAAAACCCATTATTTCACTCTGAAAAATGCATCATTTTCATTTTTTTAATAACTATCTTTTTCTAAAAGAAAATAGCCTTGATTAACTAAATGTTACAAAAATGACAGCAGCTCCAAATAGCTACAATCCCAACTTTCAATATCTTTTTGCTTGATTTTTTTGGAGAACTAAAATAAATTTTACTCTTATTTTGTCAATGTTTTTGTTCTAGACCAGAGTAGAAAACAGGTACAATAAATGCATAGCCCCATACTCCCTCTGGTGGTCCCTCACTCTCATTAACTAGATGTTTTTCAAAAGACTGGAATACTACATTCAGAATAAAATAAACTTGCCCTATTTAAGGATTATAGTCTCACATGTATAAAATTCAGCCATGTACAGGCAATTTTCATCATAACAAACTGATGTACAAATTGTGATGTACAAGTTATTTTCAGTACTTGAATTTTAGTGTTTCAAATATTGCTAAAATATCCTTAAGGAGTAACCTGTTAACTACACAGATTACAGTTACGTGGTTAAATAAGGCTGTATCTAAATTATCTTAACCTGTCTCATTTGGCAAAACCATCTTGTACACCATAAAGATCTCATTTGCAAATTAAATCACATTTAAGTGGCTACTGTTTTTAAATCAATAGTTATGTGATTTACATATCAATATCCTCCTAGTCTCTGATGCTTGTAGATTTAATTTTCTTTACACTTTTGGGGATATAATGTCAAGTTAAAAATGCATTGTACAAAAATCCAAAAATGTAAAATAATGAAAAACAAAATCTAAGTATAATCAGCTAGGTTAGAAGTTCAGATAGCTTCAGAATTACAAAATGTAAATATTTAATTGTTCAGCATTAAATAATTACAAAATGTACCAAAACATGTACAATACAGATTCTTCTTTAGGAATTGTGAAAAATTATATTAAAGGCCTTTAAAGGTTATTCTTACTATCAGGTATTACAAGCATATTACTGTTAAATAAAGCAGTCTAACAGTGTCATTTGATTTCTGTTCGAATATAGCTATTTTTTGTGGCTTTATTCATTCAGAAATCTTTGCTCACCCCAAACTGAAAAGAAGCCACACCTGAGGTTAAATAACAAAAACTCTCTCCCAATATTTATTTAGTGCATGTGAGAATTCAGCTGTTAATTAATTTTGAAGCTGAAACGTGGTTCATAATTTTATAATATGGTCTACCACAAGTTAAAGTGGGCAAAAATCAGTAAATAAAATATCTAAAAACTGAATCTGAAAGTGAGTTCTTAATTAAAAGGCATTTTTATAGTTAAAGTTCCAAAGATACGCTTTTTGTAAATAAAACTATGAAATACAATTTTATGATGTGGTATATTTATCTTAGGATAAAATTAATAAAACTTTAATTACACATAATAAAATATATTCCTATCTCTACTTTAAAGAGAAACTATATAAATTAAGCAAAACAATGAGCCCCAGTCATAAGATTCCTCACAACTATTTATATAGAACAAAACCCACTCCACATGAGGACGAGTCACTGTTTAGCTGATCTACCCTCCCTGTGCATCAAAAGCCAACTCAACTTTTAATAGCCTTAGCTTCTACAACTACAAAGAGAGTATGTTTTCTTCTGCAGATTAATTCGTTCTAAGCTAAGAAACCTTTCGGAAACTAAATAACCCAGGGTATATATTCTTTTACAACCCAAGAATAAACAGAAAATTGAAAATTTAAATAGCTAATCCAATATTTTAAGTTTTTCATGTTGAAATGGTTAAAATTGATGTTTTAAAAAGAAATTCACCCAATACTTCTATAACTAAAAAAAAAAAAAATTCCCATAACAAAAAAATTAAAGACTCAGAAACATACTTGTTTTGTTAAAAATGTTGGAAAGGCAAAGAAAGACCACGTAATAAATAAGCCTGTTGTTTTAAAGAATAAAACATTTTATCACACCATCTTTGATGATCTTTTTGAACCCAAATAGTCACAACTAGCCAATTGGGTAAAGAGTTCAGCTTTAAATGATATTATTAGTTAACTAGATAAATAAGTAAAATTAACATTCAATGAAACACTAATGGCATAATTAAATCAAAATCACAACTTTGTTCTTTAAGATGTTAAACCTCTATCTCAAGTATAAATCATAACCAAATATGGATAAAAAACAACTCACATTAGGAAAACTGAGTAAACTAAATCAAGTGTTTCCCACAAATGTCAATCACCTTCATTTAAAAAGATGTATTTTTAAAACACATTTTAGAATAATTACCTTTCTAAAATATATTTAAAATATAAAATAAATATATTTTAAATTATTATGTATTATTTTCAAATATATTTTTCCTATAGATGCCCTGAATTGGTCAGGGCCATAACTGCATATTGGTAAGTGGAGGTCAGACGGGAGAGAAACAAACAGAAAATGCTAAGCAGAAGTATGACAAAAATTTCCCGCCAAAGGAAGAATTTTTTTCATGCCTATCCTTGAATTTTGATTCAAATACCAAGAGAAAAGCCTACTATAATTCTCTAAAGAAGAAACCCTTTGGCGGGGGAGGGGGGCAGAATTACAGACTATTAAAAATACTTAACTGAAGTATGCCTAAACTTTTGCCTTCTCTACAATCTAACAAAATGGAACGACAATGAAAACAAACACTACGGTCTACCCTCTGAGAGGCAAAGAAAGCTCCCATTCAACGCTAAGCCTTATTCCGCTGGAAAACACACTCCTCAAAAGTAAGTCCAACACCACGAGCTCAAACTACTTCACGCAGAATTTCTGAAAGGCGGCCAAACGTTGTACACGCTGTCCTGCGCCACACTGAAGGCTGTCTAGAGTTCTGCATTCTCCATTTACAACTTGCTTACTGTGCTTTCGCCACCACTGCAGAACTGATTTTTTTAAATGAGACTAAAATGTTCCTCCTGCCTCGTCGAGCAAAAAGAAAACAATCTACCCGCTGAGCCCACCACCACCACCCCATCCATGGCTTTTCTTCAATACTGACTGGGTTTGAGTCCTATGTTTCGCCAGCACACCTTTTTAGACATCAGTAAGGGGGAAGGCATTGTGCCGTCCAGGAGGGTACTGAGTAAAGAAGGGGCCCTAAAGCAAGTTTTCACTGGCGTTTACCTGGCACCTGTCAGAACTGCGCTGCGCTGACACCCTCCCAGAGCGCCTGAGAGCGAGGATGTCGTTCCCAGTCACTTGTCCCATGGCGACAGGTGAAGGTGGTGAACGCGCACCTACACCCACCGCCCCGGGAGTGCAAACCGAAAGCGAGGAGCGCAGTGGCGAGGCCCTCCGCTATCCTCACCCTCCACAGGCCCACCAGGTGAGCGACGCTCCACCGCGCCCGCGGCATCCCGGCTCCCGGCTCACCGCGGCTCGACTTCTCCCGCCGCCCGGGCCCCGGAAGGCGAAGTTTCTCTCTCGCCCGCGGCGGCGGCTGCTGCTCACGCGCCGCCTGGCTCGCTCTCCGCGGGTCCCGCCGCCTGCTCCGGGCGGCCCCGGTCCAGCGCGCCGGGCCTCGGGCGTGTTGGGGGCTGCCGGCCGAGGCCGGAGACGGGACCTGTCACCCCGGGCGGGAAACAAAAGCCGGTGAGGACGAGCGGGCGCGACCGGCCTCGCCTCCGCGAGGGGGAGCGCGGCGGCGGCGGGGGCGATTCCCGTAGCCGCCGGGCTCCGGGTCTCCCGCAGGGAACATCAGCCCCGCCCCGGAGGGGCGCGGAGGAGCCTGGCGGTGGGGCTGGGGGGTCTATCGCGCTCTCCTCGAAGCTTGCCTGGTCCGGCTGGCTCCCATGTGCCCCTGCCAGGCTGGGCAGCCGCGTGAGGAGGCGGGGAGGCAGCGCGGCGGCGACCCGACCGCGAGGAGGGAATTCGGCTCCCGGGCGCCGCGGCGGCCCGCCCCTTCTCTGCGGCCATGGCGCCGATACCTGTCACCGCGGTGGCTGGTCGGCTCGTTCTCTCTCCGCCTCAACCGCGCGCCGCTCGCTCCTCTGCCAGCCCAGCAGGCCGCCCGCGCACCAGCCGCCGCCGCCCGAGACTGGCAGCGCCCGCGAACCGGCCCGAATCCCCCGGGCAGCGCCCGGCGCTGTCCCGCCCTCGCCGGCCGCAGGACCCGCCTTCAATAGGGCCCTGGGGCTGTCAGTCCGTCCCCAAAAGGCGCGCGGGCTGTCAATCCGCCTGTCCGGATTGGTGGCCGCGCGCGGTCTACGCAAATAGGTCCCGCCTCCGCCCATTTGCACCTCCGCCTTAGTGTAATCTCCGCCTCTCCATGCCAGGCCACGAGTCTGGTCCTTGCCCTTTGTGGGGGCCCGAGGGAAGGGATAGAGGAAACTGACGGGAACCCCTTCACACCATCACTTACCTCCAGAGAAATTAATGCCTAAACAAGCTAGTTGACCACATCTAAATTGTCTCTCTGAAAGCTCTACCTTCTATCTGTCTATCCAGCCTGCCTTGCCCAGAGTATGTAAAGAGGTGGCCAGGCTGTTTGGGTCAGGTTAGCAGATTAGGTTACAACCCAGGTAAGCCCCAGGAAACAACCCCAGGAAGGCAAAGATGCCCAGCTGGGACTGGGAGAAATCCCGTCTTGAGAACCAATTTAGCACATAGCACTTCCCTCTGGACACTCAGTGACTGAAGACTATGCTTTCCTTTGACTTTCAACCTTACAAACATGAGCTCCCCGGCAATGGAGACAGCAAAGGCCTTTAAAATGTTTGTGTTCTCTGCCCCACCCCTCACCGGCCAAGGATAGGCCTGCCGAGCAAACCCACTTCCAGAGGGGCCCAGGCCCTTCTAACTAGATGGCCGCCTCTGAGTAGCTTCCATAGAGATTCACAGGAGGGGCCTGCACCTGGGCCTTGGAATAGCTAGCTCAATGCCCTCATTTTTGAGGTAAGAGACCTAATGCCACATAGCTATGGGACTTAGTAGTTACCTATGGAAACCTAAAGTCTCATAGCCAGATCAGAAGCCACATCTTAAAATTTCAAATCTGCTCTCTGTACTGTATCACATTTGTTATGTAGATATTTATGAAGAGTCTCTTCTGCAGCTTACCATCCCTGCCTTCAAGAGGTGGTGGTGGTGCCTATAGAAAAGGCAGCTAGAGTAGATGGTGAAACCTCCTCCAGGGCAAGAGCCCTGTCTCAGTGCCTATAAGTTTCCCTTTTTACAAGTAGGGACTCTGTGGCATCTGACTACAGATGCAATGGGGAATAGGAGGGGGACTTGATAATAAGGGTGAATGTAGTAACCACATTGTTTTTCTTGTGAAACCTTCAGAAGAGTGTATATCAATGATACCTTAATAAAAAAAAGTTTCCCTTTTTACCAGATGGCTAGAGAGAGTCCCTGGAACAACTTATTCATGCATTAATTCAGCAAGACACTGGTGCAGCTCTGCATACTAACACTAATTGAGTAATCTACTATGCCTATTAACAGCAAGTATTAAGCACTGTGCTATGCGCAGGGTTTAAAAAGGTGAGAAGAGGCTTGTCCCAGCCTTTGAGGGCTTCAGCCTTAGGAGACAGTGCCATCCACATTGCATGTCATTATGCCTCATGTTGCAGAGACTGTGACAGATGTCCACATAGTGCACAGTGGAAGCCTCCAGGGAGGGAGGAATTGGCCCTTCCTGGAAGAGGCAGGGAAGGCTTCATTGGAGAGGTGACACTGGAGATGAGTCTTAAAACATGATGTTGCTGGACAGAGGGATGTTGAAGAAGGAAGGGACCCTGGGGACTGGGGGACCATGAGCAAGAGGCATGCAGACCTGGAAAAGCCTGCTAATTGAGGGAACAGTGAGGAGCTGTGTGGGCAAATCTTCAGGGCTGGGTGGCCATGTCACATGCTCTGGGACCAAGCTCTTCCAGGAGGAAGACAGAAAGGCCCGGGAGGCTGCCAGACTGTGTTGTAACACACCGCAGCAAACAACAGGCCCTGTAGATACAGCTGCAGGATTTTTTTCTAGGCCAGAGTCTGTGGGGAACAGTCAGTTCCACAGTTCTGAAGGCAGCCTGGCTAGCCCCACCCACTCTCTCAAAAAACCACTCCCGTCACTGCACTTGCCCTCCTTGGCATTTGGAAACACTTATGCTTGCAATTTCCCCAAACATTGCTCCCCTTCAGCATTCACAGATACCATGGCCTATGGCTGCAACACCTGGGTGTGGGATGAGCAGCACTTTCCTAAGGCACTGAGCAGGTCTCTGCAGGGCTGTCAACCAAGGCTGGCTTTATGGGCACGTGATCCATGTGTGCTTTAAAGCTCTGTTGTCACCTCTTGGGACTCAATACTTTTTCAGCAAGGGGCCCCACAGTTTCATTTTACAATGGGACCTGCCAATTATGTAGCCAGTCCTGACCTGTCACTGTTTGTGTCCCCTGGAAATGCCTGTGCTACTCCTGAAACCACGTCATTTTAAAGCACATGGCATTCACTAGATTTATTCACATTTGTATCCCTTAATTCTCAAAATGCCAACGTGGGGTCGGCCTATGGTACTAGTCACATTTATTAGTTGAGAAAATTGAAGTTTGGCAACCTTACCCAGGTGGCACAGCTAAGAAATGCAGAGCTTGTACTTGAACTCAGCCCACCCAAGCCCCATTCCATCACTATGGAGCTACCTCCTCCGTGTTGGTTTTAGAACCCTTTCAAAGGATTTGTATATGAAGGATATACACTTTCAGAGTCAGAACACATGGTAAAGTAGATATACGTCATTCCATGACTGCCTCTCACCTTTTGAATAGTTTTTTATTAATTTTGAAAAATTCTCAGCCATTATATGTTCAAATACTGTTTCTGTATCTTTTCCTCTTTCCTTCTGGGCCCCCAATTGAAACACATACTAGACCTTCTCACTATATCCCTTTCTTCTGAATTTTCTATCTTTTGTCTTTCTGTGCTTTGTTATGAAAGTTTCTTGTGTTTTTCAGTTCACTAACTCTCCAGCTCTTTAAAAAATTTTCTTCCTAGACCCATCAATTGAGCACTTAAATTTGGTTGTTCTTTGGTTTGCTTTTTTTTTCAGTTCTAGAATTGCTATTTGGTTCTTTTTCAGAGCTGTTATGACATTTCTTACATCTCTTAGTGCCTTGCTATAATACTCAAGCTTGGCTTTTCTCTCCTTAAACAGAATAAGTATAGTTGTTTTGTGGTCTGTGTCTGTTAATTCCAATCTCATGTCCCTGTGGGTCCACTTCCATTGTCAGTTTTTACTAATGGTTCATCCTTATGTTGTTTTATCTCCTCATGTACCTAGTTATGTTTTGGACATTATATTTGAAAAATCATTTGAGGCAGCAATGACAACATCTTCCTCTGGAAAGGATTTCCATTAGTTTCTGCAGGCAGGGACACTAGCAAGCTAGGATCACCTTAACCCAGTTTCAAAGCTTCTGATTCTCTGAGCCTCACAGACGACTTGAAGTTGGACTACAGTCTGTAAGAGGGTTTGTTTATTTATGGTTCCCCCTTACTTGATGCTTCAGTTCTTTGAGATCCCAGGTGAAGATAGGGAGTTGTTTTAGTTAAATACATATATTGATCCATGTGAAACTATCCCAACATTTAGCAGTTTAAAACAGATGCCAGCAGACTTTTTCTTAGGGCAAGATGGTAAATAGTTTAGGCTTATAGGCTATATGGTCTCTGCCACGACTCAACTCTGTAATTATAGTACAAAGCAGCTGCAGACAATACATAAATTAATGGAAGGCTGTGTTCCAATAAAACTTTATTTATGAAAACAGGCAGCCATCCTCAACCTGATAAAGGTATCTACCAAAATCCCACGAGTAATATTATACTTAATGGTGAAAGATTGGCTACTTTCCCCACAAAACAAGACAAGGATGTCCCCTCTTGCCACTTCTATTTAATATTGAACCAGAGATTCTAGCCATAGCAATTAGGCAAGAAATAGAAATGAAAAGGCATCCAGTTTGGAAAGGAAAAGTAGAACTATCTCTGTTCGCAGATGACATAATCTTGTCTGTAGAAAACCCCAAGGAATCAAGGTTGCAGGATACAAGATCAATAACAAAAATTAATTGTATTTCTATCTACTTTCAATGAACCATCCAACAATGAAATTAGAAAAAAATTTAATTTATAACAGCATCATTAAGAATAAGATGCTTGGAATAAATTTAATAAGAGAAGTGCCAAATTTATACTGTGAAATCAACAAAACATTATTAAAAGAAATTAAAGAAGACCTAAACAATTGGAAAAACATCCTATGTTCATACATCAAAAGACAACAATACTAAGATGGCAATACTCTATAAATTGATCTACAAATTGAATGCAAT